CACAACACTATGGGGAACACAACCGGACTCCAGAAAATGGTATAAACAGAACTACTATGTGGTTGTGGTGTCCGCAGATGTCTGTTTGGAAGTATATTCAAGCCTTAAAGACCTCAATATACCTACACAGACATTAGTTCTGTTTATACGACTTTCTGAGTCCATTTGTAGGCCGCCAACAGGGAACCGCCTCTGTTCCGCACCTTTGCACGTTCGGAGCAAGATAAATTAGTTAGAAACCTGAACTGGAACCGAGATAATTTTTCCTTTTCCAAGTTTTCCTTGGGAACCAAAGTGGGTCATATTCTACAGGTTGTTGTGTGGAGGAGTGTAGTGCCGCAACAAACTGGAAGTACACAGATGTCCACTTCACGCATACTGCTGGCTTACTCATAGACACAAAATGTGTGTGTACAAAATGTTAACTGAGCATTATTCCTCAACAATCCCTTTGACCCATGTATTACCCCTTTTTTAAAGAGGCAGCTCATTTCAGCCTGAATAAAAGGTCTCTGATATGAGTCATTGTGTCTCCCCCTGAGCTCCCAGAGGAGGTCATAGACCCCAGGTTAGGAACCTCCGATGATTGTTTTTTACTAAGAGCTCTTCCTGCCCCTGCGTTACAGTCCCCCTGCCAAGAGCTGTTGCATCCCCGCCCCGCCCCCCACCCTCCTCCCTACAGCCGAAGGAGGAAGTGGTAATGTCAGGAATGATTAGGACAGCGGGGGTCATTAGAGCGACTCTCCTGTCAGGGTTGTTGAAGATAACAGAGGTCTCAGGAGAGCCAACAGTCCAGACAGCTAACCTCTCCTCTGTCTCTGCTTTTAACCTCTGCATTTTCTCCTCACCCTTAAAAGCCTCTTCAGCACTCACACAGGCTGCTGTTTGTTTATGCATTTCCCTCTTTTTATAGCAGTGTGAGGTTCTGTTCTGGGCTTCTGCAGACAGAATTCTGCATGGTTGATGGCTGCAAAGAAGTGCCTTTTTGTTACGTGATAACTGCCATCATTGTCATTTTCTCAGCTGCGCACTCTCCGACAGTATAACCCGTTTTATTTTGTTTGATTCTTGGCATGAGGAATGATTTTGTTTGATAGTTGATGGGTTGTTTAAACTGCGATTCTCTATATGCATGCTGAATTTAAAATGATGTATAACATTAGAATTTGTAGCATAAGACTACTATTTTGTAGTTTCATTGTTCTTTAAAAGTCCAGTGTGCAGCATTTAGGAGGATCTATTGGCAGAAATGGAATATAATATTCATGAAGGACGCCATTTTGAACCGCCATGTTTCTACAGTAGCACAGAATTGTGTTTTGCGACCACCTTAGTTTCTCCCACACACTGGGAAGGCTGAGCAGTAATCAGTTGGTTGCAATCTGCAACTTCACCACTAGATGCAACTAAATTTTACACACTAGAGCTTTAAATTGAAACACTGTGAAAAATCTAAATTTTAAAGAGCAACTTAAAATGAAGTGATTTACCTACAAATAAAAACAAAAAAATACATTGAGGGGTAGAGCCTAATTTTCCATGACACTGAGATTGCATTAAAATTGCAATAAAAATATTAAAAAGAAGACCACAAACAACACAAACATTGGTTAAAACAAATTCTGAATCTTAAGTTTTACAAGCAAAAAGGTCTGTATTTATAAAATTTATTTTCAATTGGTAAAGTAAAGAGTAAAAGACAGAATTTTGTGTTTTTAAAACTCAAAGATTAAATTTTTTCTGAGGAAGAAAAGTAAATTATTTTTAAAAAAGTTTAGATGTCAGCAAAACCTTTTTTTAAAATATATTTCAAAATTTAGACAGTTGCTGACAGTTTAAGAATTACTTTTTTTCAATATTTCTTATTCCATGAGTCCCGACCACAAAATCTGAGTTCAGAGTTAATCTGGGGAACATGAAGTGTAATCCAGTCCTGACAGCTGGTTTAAGGCTCCTACCTTGAGGTCAAATACAGCTCAATCTTAACGCAGAGGAGATTTCCTCTAATTGTGGCTACCTTTTATATTTGCCTAAGTAATGTTTTCTACTGATTGCAGTGTGATTTAAAAACTATATACATTTTCGCTCACTCACACTGATACTCTGCTCTGTGATTGGAAAGACAAAGGTTTAGTTTACGATCCAATTCAGTCGGTTTAGGTCACATAGAGTTGTCTCTGAGCTAACATGTAAAGCTTCTTGAAGTAAGGTAACTCTGTTGAGAGGTGTTTCAGTGTTTAGATGAATGATATTTTGCACATTATAGGAGATTTATCACTTACTGTTTGTGTTGTATGGGAACTCAGCTTGTTAGTTTTGATGTACTCCAGCTTTTAATTAACCATCGAAAGTACCGATTTAGCTTAAATGGATCAGAATCAATAACGGCTATTGATTATCTTCGCACTAATTGACACAGTGTCAGTCATGGTGATAACATTTACACAGTGTCATTCAGCTGACCTGATTCTAGGTGCCGGAAGGTCACATAGGTTCACTCCTCTAATAATATTTGTGTAGTCAGTGAAGCTCCAGCCAGTTAACTTCCGGAAAGACTGAGGATATTATAAAATACATGAATGCTATGATGAATTTGAAATTGTATATTAATATTTTATGACAATGAATATTTCAGAACTATTTCTCCTGCTTCCATTCTTATTCTTTATTGTACTCTGACACAAAACCACATTTGATGTCTTTGTATCATCTGACAGTCAAAAGTATTTCTACAGATTCTAGCAGGAAAAAAAAATTAAGGATCAGATCAGTTTTTACAGATTACCTGGTTTTGTCACTGCTTATCCAAAAGGTCCCCTTGTGATGAGCTCAGAAAAAGCTTTCAATAATAGAAAATGGAGAGGAAACAGTAATACGATGCTCATTATGCAGCAAATGTGTTTATTACTCCATATAAAATAATTAAAGACAAGATCAATCTTTAGTTATTCTTTTTTTTCTTTTGTCTATCAATAATGACCCCATAGTGCAAAATCAGCCCTTGTAGAAACAAGCCAAATATTTCTAAATATAATCACATTTTCTTGTATTGAGCAAAACAATCTGCCAGTTGGTTAAGACTGTTTTACTAGAAATCTAGAAATCTTAAAACTAGCATAAAACTGTAGCCATTAAAAGACTGTAATGGGCCTTTAAAATTAGTCCCAAGTTGTGCTTACAAACTATGAAAACTCTTTTTTTAAGAGACTTTTTTTTTAAAGTATTTTGGTCACTTTATTGAACTGAATTTAAGATTAATAATTGGCAAAAAAGACACAATTTCTTCAAATGATGAAGTGAAATTATTTTTATCATGTTGTATTAAAATAATGAAAAACTAAACAGCTGCTCCAAAACTGGGACAAGACGACTTTCTCTTAAACTGAGAAGTTGTGCTAGTGGTCTTACTTACTTACGTAATAATTAATATAATCTTGTTCCTCTGCTGGGATATTATGCAACCATTGTTGTTACTGGGTAAATCGAGCTCAATATTAGCTGTAAAATCATATTAAGACAAAGTTGGATTTATTTGATGAAAACAAGGTTACTTTTCTAATGCAAAATGTGTTTGACAAGTACATAAATAACCATCCATAAAATACAATTAGATTTCTGCAGCAGTTCAAGTAGAAAGACTTGCAGTGTGAACGTAGCAAAATGGAGACAGACAGAGGAACAGGGAGGGTTTGTGTGGTTGTGTTGTGTCTCCCTCTGAGCGCCGGGGCTCAAACGCAGCCCTGCAGCTCCTCAGTGACATGTGAGCACTCTGGGATTACGTAAACCCCGTTCTCCTTGGGAATCATACGAATAACAACACTTAGTGAGGACTCTGCCTCGCCACTGATGACTAACCAGCAGGTAGTTCAGCCTCGGAGCTCAGCACAGTTAATTAAGTGCTGACAGGCGGTCACATCATTAGGCACCCATCGATGACTTGCTCTTTGAAAGACAAAATTATTAATTAGGTCAATTACAGCAATCGCAACACTTACACTGATTGCTTTAAAAGTTCTTAAAGGTTTTAAAAAGAGGTGACATTTCTTCCTTTTTAAAGAACACACAGTCTCAGAGGAGACTGGGTGGAAGTGCAGGTTTGAACCCCTCTGACAGTAAACATCTGCCCTTCTGAAGTGTCCTTTTACAGGATGCTGAATCCCAACAAGCTCCGGGGACGTTGCTCTGCAGCCATGTCTGACCTCTGACCTCCCTGTATACCGGCCTTAAGAGAAAAGGCACATTTCTGCTCATGTGATGCACAGAGGGGGAAAAAGAAAGTGAATGAATCCCACTAATGAAACTCATTAACATTATGAAATGATTAAAATAAAGTGTGGTGTATTCGGGTTGAATGTCATGGTTTTTATAGATTAATTAGGAAATTGAAAGGAAAAGAATTAAAAGGATGCATTGAAATCAAACCAGAACAACAAGGTAATGCAGCAGACCAAGACATAATTAATTTATTAATATGAAATGTAGGTAAGAGCTCAAACTGACAGCACTTTTCATATACAACTGATTGGTGAATAAAAGGGCTTCTTTACATCATAAGCAGGGCAGAAATCTAACAAAACTCTATTTTTACAATGATGAATTATTCTAGATTAGATTTCCCAAACAATATCTTTTACAGAAAAACAAGTAATGATCACATTTCTCAAAAGTAAACATAACAAGTTGCTAACAGAGTAGAAAAGATAGCCAGAAAACATTTTATAAGAGAAATCATCTCGCTGGTTGAAGTGAATCAAACAAATAACTAATATTCTATATATCTTCTTTTTTTTTTTTTTTAAGCAAGTCGTGCCAACTAGCAAATTTAGAGCAGAAGACCTATATTAGCTACCATCTCTTTCATTTGCATTGTTTAACAGCAGGGAAACCTGATTCTTTGTCCATTTTCACTCCAATTTCATTCCAATGACGTATAAACTGAGTGATTAAAAGCGAAAGCATACAGTTTTAAAAAGTGTATTTTCTGCATGTTCAGATGTGTGTTACACAGATGTTATACATTCAGTGGTGCTGGTCAGACAGACATCACAGTCGCATCTCAGCGCGACGGGGTAGGTGTACATTGGGTCGACGTTCGGCAGGCAGTTGGGCAGTTTGACGGTGACCAGGCGGGTCTCGTTGTAGGTACAGACCCGCTGGTAGGACTCAATGAAGGGAGGGTCCAAAACGGGCTTCTAGAAATACAGAATAGACAAAACAAATAATCTTAATTAATATGAAAGTATTTGATCTTTGGAGGTTGGCTCTGACCATTCTTCTCTACAGAGGGCTTTCAGATGCTGTAAAACAACCTGTCGGCCATATTTGAGGTCTTCAATGTATAGGACATTTTTCTAAATGTCCAACATGGCTCTATGTGAGCTAATATTATCTATTCAGCTATGTGTTTTGTAATGTAAGCTGGTTAGCTATCCTTCACTGTTAACATCTTAAGTTTTGGCTAATTCTTCTGAAGATTTTGGCAGCTAATTGTTAAATTTTGTTTCTGAATTTGTAAAGTACCTAGCTAACAAAGCCAACTCGGTCAAATTCAAGTTGAGAATGTTTGTACAATTTGTACAATTTTAGTGGCCTTTAAATAGTTGCAGACTGCATAGAAGAGGACCTGCTCCCTCTGTAAATAAAAACAGCACATTCAAGAACATGATTTGTTTTTGAATGCATTTCCTATCTCATAAAACATGGAAATGGTCATGCAAGTGCTTTCAGAGCTCACTCATCCAAACATTGCTCGTCAGCACCCCTAGTGGCGAAAACATTCACAAGGTACCTTTAATTACTCTTTTCAAGCTACAAAACAACCTGCAGACTGGGCAGTTTCCCTCATCACAGTAATCAAATCCACCTTATTATTCTTTCCATTTTTAATACATTCTTTTGTTCATCCTGTCATTATTTGCACATAACTAATTTGCCAGTGAATCTCCATTTTGCCATCAAGCAGTGTTTGAAAGGAGATTTGCGACACATCTGCAAAGCCTCCATTAATTGCTTGTAGTGTTCGTGTTCCAGGAAATTAATATTATTCTGCTGTTGCAGTAATTAAAAATCTCTCTATCACAACCTCGGCTGAACACACAGAAGGTGAGAATCCTGAAGCTGCGTAATTGTAATTAGAGGCTGTCCTATGACCTAAAGTTCACGGATGTGATCCCTGACCCGCTAACTGTCTGTCCTACAGACCGTCCCTACAGCGAGACATCGACTCCCTCCACTTGCGTTCTGACCTCCCTGTGGGGTAGAGCAGACGAAAGGATGAGTCTCCTCCCCGAGGGGATCCAGAGAGTATCACAAAACAAAGCTCGGGCTTCCTGCGTGCACACCAGCCACACTGCAATAATGAGGCAGAGAGAATCATGAGCTTCCTAATGGCACTTGTCACTGAATACAATGTACCAGATGAAACTTGAGATTTCACAGCATTTTCTTTTGTAATCAGTACCCGGTGACTTATGAAATCCAATTGTGTCTTTTATGCACTTGAGGCATTGTTAAGGAAACTGCTGCTGTCACTTCAATCTCTGGATTCCACACTGCTTTCCTCTCTCGCACAGCGTTAACTCAATTTCACTGCACGCTGCTCCAGAAGCCTCCCGTCATCCTTCATTCTTATGCAAGATTTACACTTCAGACAGCCCCCTCATTACTGTGCCACAAAAATGTGATCTTAGTAGTTTTATATTAACACAGAATATATTTTTCTTAGACACATCAGTCTCTCTTTATCTGCTCTAATATTTGTCCGTCCATCTGCTGAATCTGTGGAGCAACTGAATCCCTGCACTCACAGCCGACCTTGCACTGACCTTCCTGTTAAGGGAGGAAAGTGAAAACAAATTTCCTCCATGGGGATCACCCATCTCTCTATCTCTGTACAGTATTTGTCTCACTGTCTGTCTCTGTGTGTATTTGGCTGTCTGACTGACTGAAACTGCATCTAATCCATCTTCTTCTCTTTCTCGAAACTGATGCAAACAGCAGACTGCATACTTTTGTGTAAAGTTGTCGGCTTTGCTTACGTCACCTCTCAGTATAAACACATTTACACTCGTCTCTTCTCTGTGTGTGTGTGTGTGTGTGTGTGTGTGCGCGCGTGTGTACAGTACAGTAGCTGCTGCCTCCTGCAGCTCCTCACCTCCCAGGTCTCACAGCGCCCCCAGCAGGCGTCGGTGGTGATGTGCAGGCCCCCGCAGCCGGGCTTCTTTGCCAGGAAGGTGAACTCCCGGACGGCACAGCCAATGAAGCGCCGCAGGTTGACGGCTGACGCCCGGTGGAGGGAGTCCGGTTGAAAAGAGATCCAGAGCAGAAACCAGCACAGCACCAGGCCAGGCCTCCTGAGGGTGAGGAGCAACAAAATGCAACAATCTTTGTTCGATATTGTGTTCATATTTGAAGGAAAGATGAGAAATAAATGAAGGAGATTAAATAAATTGAAGGAGGATTTTTAAGCACTGAGACAACTGCAGGTTTCTATTTCTACAAGTGAGGAAGTGTCAGTGCAACTAAAGCAGGGCAGAGACTGAACCCCAACCAAGGTTTTTCTTGCAAGAAATCAGTAATATTTCATATTTAATGCCTTTCTTAACCACACAGTTCAGATTATCTAACTGAATGCATTCTGAGGTCTGTTCTGTCACTGTGAATGAGTCGTATTTAAGATGTACAGACACAGATACAGAACTAGTTTTTCTTGCGGCTGAGAGTGTCAATTATTATGTAAGCTTTTTAATAAACTTTAAATGATTTATATTACAGGAAAACTACATTTAATCCAATTTTGTATTTAAAAAAAGATGTTTATTGTACATCTTGCTCATTAGATTCTGTTGGAAAATCCCCAGCTGGACTCCGAGGCCCGACTGCACCTGATCCTGTTTAATAAGCGGACATCTGGCTTTACCTGACTCTAATTTCCAACTTGATGGTAACAAGATCATTTGACTCCTTAAACTACAAACACCACAACCAATTGTTTTGTTTTTGAGACAACAATCTCACTGCAGGGTCCATTTAGTAGCTGTTCTGGAAGCTTTTGGTCATCTCATCACACGTGCATCTTTATCAACAGAGTTTCCTGATTGTCACTGCTGATTGTTCAAATTTCCATTTCTTTCTTAAGACTTTAAGGATTTCTTGTCCATGTTGCTTTTAAAAGTCCATTTGTGACCTTGCAAACAGCAGTCGGGCACCCAGTACCCTCTAGGGTGCTAATCTAACCCTGACTAAGCTGTTTTACTATTAACGAGTCATAACTTTCTGCACACTGGTGCTCTTTTAATTAATTTTTTTGCCCCAGTCCACCACTGCATCACAGTACAATGTCACAACAACGGGGCCAACTTCTCCTGCTGATCAGGTGATATGATCAAAAGTTCCAGAACAAATCTTAAACTGACCCTTGAGGTGAGATTTTCTGTTCAACTGCTGTTTGTTCTTTCTTCACTGTAAGACAATAAGTTATTTTAAGTAAATAAAAATGTTGAAACTGATTACATCGGAACAATTTTGTAAGTTTAACATGCTTGATGAAGCAGCTTTTACTAGAAATAAGTGACAGAAGCTTAGTTTTGTTACAGAAACAGTCCTGATTAAATACTTTTTACAAGGTATTTTGTTTTCACATCACAAATAAAGATTAAAAAACTAAATCAGGGTTAAAATTACTAGCTGGAGTTTCAACCATTTTTGTTAAATTTTTAGGTGTTATTTTTTTTAAATGTGCAGTATGTACCCAGGACTCCAGGAAATTAAAATAAATTAAAATTAAGTAAATTAATATTTTCTAAATTCACTCACCATTGTGACATCTTCTTTTGCAGGGTCATCTCAGCTGCAGCCAAACCCAGTGTGTTGACTACTGAATGAAATACACTCACAGCTGTTTATCAGCGCTGAAGTTATTTTTTATCAGTGTGGATGGCTAACATGAACCACAGCACTTGTCACTGTCTGCTCCTCAGACTCAGAACAAGCCAGGGCTTTTTATCACCCCTGTGTCCTGCCAATCAGAGTCCTCACCTCAGACTCCCCTCAAATCCCCCCGGAGGCCCTTCTACCTGTCGCTGCCCATCTAGTTCAGCCACCAGCTTGTTCCCACTCCATTAGCTTGATTAGGAGAAGAGTCTGCCCTTTTGTTCATAGTCATCCACATGGAAGAAGAGGGAACAACATACTCAAACACAGTGCCTACCTGTGTCTACTCTCACTCATCCGAGCTCAATTAGCCGGCTCCAGAGACAGACCCTGCTCCTGTTCTCACATGCCGACTGTGATGACTTCACCCCAGAGCTCTGACAGTGCTTTTACCTTATTCTGCCGCTTTGTCTCATTCTTTTCATTATGTCCTTTATTTTTGTTGGCAGTGACATTTCCTCACACACAGAAGCTGGCTATTACTGAAGCCATGTCTTGCAGGCTTTACCACATGGATCGTGCACTTAAAGAGAGCGAAAAGGATGCATGTCAAAGAGGTTGTGCGTGTGTGCGTCAGCCCTCGCATTAGACAATGACAGGAGGAGGAGGAGACGTGAGGAAGTGGGAAGAATTGATTTGGGTGAGTAAGCACCTCATCAAGAAATTACCATCGTCAGAGGCCCCGCAGGCACTAGCGTGGAGCCAGCCGAGCAGAAACTGCTCTCAAGAAGTTCAGCAAATGAATCTTTTAAAAGTAAAAGTTGAGGCCAAGCAATTAAAGTTAGATTAGAGGAAATATTGAGGAGGATGACAGGTTCACACTCCTCTTAGACACCCTGTCCTCCGCACTATGAGAGCAAATCTGGAGGCTCTTATTGAGCAGCGTGCAGGGTGTGGGGTAACAGAATGCATGTAATTGGATAACAGTGGTGATTACAGTGAGGTTAAATGTAATTCAGAACAAAGGGAGTAAGCCTGGATTTCCACAATCCGGCTTTTGTGCAATTATTCATGGATTGCAAATGAGAGATTCTCTTTAGGTTTTAGCTTCATTTTTTTTTGTCATTAATATTTCTCAGGAAATTAGTGATCTTGACTATTGAGTTTTTTTTTTTAATAACCTGCCCTTTATAGTGGATATTGAGTAGTAAGTACTCCAACATCTCCTTTGCAGGTCTCCCAGAGGCCAGGTGGTGTCTTGTAGCAGCCAGATTATGCTTGGTTAAGTATAGTTTTGAGATACTTTAGTGTTTTAATTTTATGCTACTTTATATTTCTACTCCACCACATTTTGGAGGCACTAGATATACCTAATAACTTTAGTTTCATTGCATTTATATGTTGTATTATTAATGTGAATCATTAATAATACAAAATATAAATCAACTAATAAATGCTCCACCTTTACAAACAGCAACAGTCGACAATGATAGCAGTCATACGGGGTTAGTGGCTTTTCTGCCTCACTGAAGTGCTCTGTTTCCTGAAGTATGGAAGATGGTCTCATAAAAACTCTCATAAATAATAAAAGCATCATTCTGAAGAACAGAAACAGTATATCTTTATAAATTTGATCACTTATCTTACCTCACTCCCAAAAACCAGTTTACTGCATGATGTTGTGCTGACCTCTGGTGCTCTTTTCTTGTACTGATACAGCAGCCGTTTAATTGCTTTGATGCCTCTTTTACTTTCTAATAATGTGTACTTTGTTATGTATTGTTGTGCTTATTATATGAGTTATTTTGTGTTTTATGTGTTCTTAGGTTTTATGTTTTTTTGTGTTTTATGTGTTCTTAGGTTTTATGTTTTGCTGAGTTTTACTTTGCTTTTTTTATTTTTATTTTTTTTTACAACTTGTTGTATCAGGTTTCACTGTGTGGAAGTCAGGAAAGCACCTAAAACACCTCATTTGTGGCTGAAGAAACATGAACACGCCATATTTCTATGTAATTACTGCCTGAAATTAAAGGTAACTTCTACACAAACAGTGCCCCTTGTGCAATCTCTGCTGATGATTTTTAATCAACAATACTGTGGGGTGTTGTATTAAGTCCACATAATTTTTATGTGTTCTTCCTTTATTTTCTGTCTTTTAGAAGCTATTTCAAGGTTTTTCATCTGAGGAAAGAAATATCCAGTTTGATATTTTGCCAATATAACCTGCCAGAACACTAGAGCTCAATGCAGAGTTTAGCTGCTTTTCTGAACTGCTGAGCCAGCCTCTGTGAACTTTGACCTCTGTGTCAGCTCTTCAGGAAACTAAGGCACCCTGGAAAACATATGGAAACGTAGGTGTAGCAGTTGCTTTTGGTTCATTAGCACAGTATGGGTACTGACATAAACCCAAAGGCCTTTTCATATTTGGGTGGAGTTCCTTTTAATGCATTAGTTAAAATAAGTCACACAAAAAGTCAAAATAATTCATTTTTTAAAATTAGTTTTCCTGCAACAAACAAATGCCAGATAACATTTTGCCATTTTGTGTAAAGTTGTTTAATACATTAAAATGACATTTGACTTGACTTGTCAGTGAAAATGTTTCAGAAGTGTGAATGGGACAAGTTAGCCAACGTTCAGTTGGCTAATCTAGCTAAATGGTAACTGTAGCAAAATGTAACTTATCCTATTCTGCAATAAATTGTCATTAGTGTCAACATAATCTATTACGACTTGCATGTGTCTTACTTGTAATTGTTGGTTATAAATGAATGGTCAGTATGTTTTAATGTTTTGTTACTTTGAGTGGAACGTTTGATTAAGCTAGCTTCTGATATACCACAGCAGATAAGCTAACTTTAAAAGTTAGTTAGTGAGATCAGTCTGAGTGCAGTTAAAGGATCAATAATTTGAAGTATTCACACAATAAAAACAGTTTACAGGTAAACAGGACATTTTTAGTAAAATACCACTGTATGGGTGGAGGGTAACATGATGCTAATGTAGCGAGCTAACATTACATTAGCTACATTCAAGTTCTAGGTTAACTACATTCCTGGGCTGCCTAAAGCTGAGTTAATCTCTTTTATTATAAGTCTGTTTGCCTCTTTCTCATCTGTTAGTAGTTCACATTCTCCCCTCAGTTTCAGTCTTTAAGAATGAGGGAACCAAAGTTGAATTTAAGCTCCCAGTTTTTGGATTTGTTCCTGAGTGAACTGACATTAAACTCTTATTGTTGTTGGTGGACATTTAACCGAGGTTACAGGCTCCACCAGTGCCAACCTCATGGACAGGGAGTGTGTGTGTGTGTGTGTGTGTGTGTGTTGAACCCTGACTGCTTTCTATATTTAGCCTCCCAGTGAGTTTTTTCTTTTTTTGTTGCAGGGTCCCAGTATGGCTCTGGCTTCTCCGGTGACAGCCCGGCCCGTCCTGGAGCTCTGACTGTGGACTGCAGATCTGTCAAACTTCAGGTTTCATCTCCACAGAGTAGCTTCTCTCAGAGCAAGACCTGCTCTTCCACACTGGAAATCAATTATTGGCTGTACCTGCATCCAGCGTCTCCACCACAAACACACTCTTTTGCTGCATGTAAGTACAAGCAACTTTTTATTTACTAGAAACTAGAAACAAGAATGCACTGGCTCTTGACTGACATAATCCGGCTGTAATTGATCCCAGATATCATCAGTAATGTTGTGTGTGTGTGTGTGTGTGTGTGTGTGTGTGTGAGAGAGAGAGAGTGAGTTATGTTAAACGTGCAGGTCAACCACTTGTTTATCTGCTTTATTACAAAGTCCTCTGGTCTTCCTCAAGGACTCATTATAGGTCTGAACTGATCTGACACGTGTTCTCTGTCGCTATTTTTGGGCCCTGACAGCTTCATAACAGGGACACTACCGCACATTCCTGCAGTCAGAGGGAAGCGCACACTGTTGCACTTCATAATATACAAGCAGTAATGTAAAAAACGGTCAAATTCAAAATTTCCATTAAAAACATTGTAAATAGTTTAAAAAAGCAAACTAAATGTCATAAATATTATGTTTGTGTAATATTTACACACAGAATAATTGTATGCATTTGTATTCCTTAAAACAATTGACTTACCCTTTTCAATATTTTTAGGGGGGCATTTTATTGCATCACCCCATATTTAAACACTTTGACAATAATGTGAAGTGTAAAACCACCTGAAATAATGATAATAATGTTTAATACTGGCTGATAGATCTTCGGACACTTGCTTAAACTTAAATTTAAGTTTATTCCAAAGACAAAAATGCTTCTCAGAATATGTGATTAACATATTATTTGTATGGTAGGTTGTTTCAGATATAATCTATTGCAGTTTACCCACCAGTTTATTGACAAGTGCATTACTGGCGTATGCGTTTTCGTCTGCATCTCATTGGAGATTCATCATCATATTAAAGTTGCAATAGGAAATTTTTATAAAAAATAACTGCTTGTCATATCTGCTGAAACTTTCACTGTATCCTGACAGTAGTACATGAGACTCCTCCTGGTGCTCCTGATGGCATTTGTAAGAACCACAAATACCCACAAAGAACAACCAACAACCAGTCAAAGCCAGGAAAGATAGTAGAGACACTTTAGGTTGGTGGCGTGAAGGGAACTGATTGTTGAGTCGGACTGACACTCAACAATCAATATCTTTCTCCGCTCTGATTGGAGGCTTTTGTTCAGCCATGGCGGATTCTTATAAATGTCATCAGGAGCTCTAGGAGGAGTCAGAGGAAGCTGATTTTTATCACAGATTATCTGTCTCATGTTATACTGTCAGGATAAAGTGAGAGTTTCAGCAAATAGGACAAAAAGTGAACAGCTGTGATGTTTGACTTGTGTGTGGATGTGCATGTTTGTTCTGGGCTTATTTCAGATTAGTTTTTATTCTAGTTCCCAATATGATTTGTCAGAGGATACAGATTCATTTCTATTTAAAAAAGAAGTTCATAACCTGCAGTGTATGCACACTGGAGGGTAGGAAGATGTAAATATGACTAAAGATGGATCATTTAGTATTCCATATAACAAAAATACAGCTTCATAAACATCAGCTATATTTTCATTATCAGAGTAATTCACAATAATACACATTTCTCATTATCAACCCATAATTTATTGGCCTGATATATATTGTACATCCATAATCTCTACAGTTTGTGTAATCACTGATTTCTGGTGGGGAAATTAGTTTTTCTAAAGGCTATGAGAGTTTTGGTAATGCGCAGTATTATGTTGTCTCTATGAGGAATCCAGAGATTGTGCTTCGAACTTAAAACATAAAAACATTTCTGACGAGTGAATCCACACTTCACAGCTGCCAAAGCAGATGAACAACATTGACACAACCCACGATATAGAGGATAATTGAAGTTAACTGAGGATCATTCTGCTAAGCACGCCGGATTAGAAACGTATATCATGGCATGCAGCGGTAGTATGACCTGGTTCACTGGCGACATACCATGGATCAGGTGGACAGTGAACGCCCAAAGGTTGGAGGACCAGAAGGTCCAGGAAAAGATAGACAGGGACTGAAACTAACACCTGTCTCTCTGCATGTGACTCGAAGTAAGAAAAGAGTGGCAGTGACCTTTTCACAGTCAGCTGATTTTTTTTGCGTTGTTAAAAATGCATCCAAAATACTCTCCTGTATTTTTCTGTGAAATCAACCAAACTCTTATTGCTTTAAAGCTTTCAAGGAGGCTTTACTGGCAGAAATGGAATATAA